ATGATTTCATTATAAATTTTCAAACTGTTTTCCCCTTAAATGTCATCTTTCTCCTGTTCAATTAAAACTATACTCCTGTCGTAAATCATCTGGCACCCTCTGAGCCGCCAGCTCATACCAAGGGTCTCCAAACCAACTAAAAACTAAACCCATCGAGCAAAACTGGATGGATTTTAGCTCTCAAAAGTGAGGGAAAGAAATGACTATTGACAACGGCTTTTTTACCGCCAATTCAAAATAATTAGGTTGAATGGGTGATCGGTTGACTGTTGAGCTTAAACGTTAGCGTCTGCGCTTCGGATACTTTGTGTTTAAGGATCGAACCAAGTAAGCGCAACTTTCGGCGATGTTATGAGGCGAGACATCAGAGACATTATATCTGCTGCTGTCCCCGTTCCAATGCCTAGTGACGGAAAAAAGATTCACCGACAACGACCACAACAGCTTTAAACAAACGAGGAACCAAGTAAGCGCAACTTTCGGCGATGTTATGAGGCGAGACATCAGAGATATTATATCTGCTGCTGTCCCCGTTCCAATGCCTAGTGACGGAAAAAAGATTCACCGACAACGACCACAACAGCTTTATTGCAACAAACGAGTTCGAAAGTTACAACGGTACCGCGTTATTTAAAGGGCACTTTCTCACATTGATCCAGGCTGTCTGATAGGCGTTGAGTGAATACCCATCTGCCTCTATGAAATGCCTGAACTCTGATCATATTCGGTCGTGCTTCTGTGGCGTGCCTGAATACTAATCGGCTTTTGCTAAATTGATTGAATGATTGACTGGCCTGGATGCTTGCCGGTTTCCCTATTGAGATTTTGGTGGAGCTGTAGGGTCTCAGTAGGTTCCGGGCGTTCTGGGGGTATTTTCAGGAATATGACCTTCCTGACAAATGGAAGCTTGTGATCTGAACATCCTTCTATGTCCTAGAGGAACCTCTCCACAACAAAGCCTAAGAAACATGATACCACGTTGGGTTTATTAATAGAATGGGCAATGTGCTATCTAACAGAGCTAGTGGTCGGGACACTGTGGGAAAGTACGCGGTCAGAACGTTACAGTATATCATGAACAAGCTTCTTTAGTATGAGTTAAGAGGCTTTTTTGCAAACACTTGTGCGATACTAAGGAGCCGTTATTTTCCGGTTTTTACCCGCAAAGTTGGGTTCGAATTTATTTTACATAAATTCGGACGCTGACTCCATCCTCAGTGCACGACACCTGGAGAAGACGTCTGCAGAGGAATCAGGCAAAAATCATTGAAAATAAGTTTAGTGCAGATGAAATATGCCTTGTGTGAAGAATGGTGTGTTAGGACAAAATAACTGTCATTTGGAATGTATCGCAAGAACTGTTCGACCTGGGGAACAAGTAGTTCCGGTGATGAACTAGGTCAAATTCCTGCACTCATTCACAGAAATTTCCCAGCTTTGCTTGAAAACATTTGCTCTTTTTTCTGTCTTTTCATATTATAACGCTTCATTTCTGATAAAGTTCATCGCGGCTGTGCAAACTACAAACTGAAATTGATATGGGGGCTGAATGTTCGTACTTTTCAGTGTTCGTTACTTACAATGATTCGCAATTTGAATGCACCGCTGCGATACACTCAAACCTTTAGTGCGACCGCCCATAATGTCGGTCGAAAGCGGTCCCTTTAGAATGGAGTATGTTGTAGGGAGTCGCAACTTGCACATTTCAACGAACTCGAATTTCTAAGGATAACACTGGTGTTTGTGGCTTCGGAATGAAAAGTTTATGTTTATGCGGGTATTGATTGTTTCTAAGTGTTGACACCAGAATAATGGGCATTCATCGTAGTATCACAGGAATTTAGCGAAACCATCAGAACGCGTTCGCTGTCGACCGAAGGTCGTTGTTAGAAAGTTTCACTTTGTAATTTGGTTCTAGCTTTATCCAGCTGGTGGCTGAAGAAAGTTTGGACACCCGTGCTTAATTGCTTATTCATGTAATTGTTTTGGTCCGTTCGCTGATTATCTCTGATAGGCCGAGAGGCCTAGTCAAGGACCGAATTCCTTCACTCTGTTTACATTTTTACGAAAGAAGCGATGACCTTGGGATAGCGAAAAGTATACTGGTCGATGTTCTCACGGATCCAATTCCGTCCGTACCTTCACTGGCTTAATTGCAGTTTATTTGTTAAGTGTCAGTAGATTTTCCCACAATTGTTCCATTCGGTTGCTCATTCACATCATAGGCGATGGCGTAGGCGAGCACCCCACACAAGCAATGCTTGATGTGTTCACGATCCGTGAGGAAATTGGTACTGTAAATGGACTGACGGTGACTATGGTCGGTGATCTGGCCAACGGACGCACAGTCCATAGCTTGGCACGCCTACTTTGCTTGTACAATGTTCGGCTACGCTATGTGACACACTGTGAACAGTTACGTATGCCGGAAGAAGTGAAACAATATGTAGCAGTCCGAGGAATACCTCAAGAGGAAATGTCCAGGTGAGTTACCTTCTCAAATTGTTTCGAATGCTACCGTCTTAGTCGTATCCATTGGGGATCTCATTAAAGTCGCACGAAGCCGGTGTGAACGGTGACCCACTGGGTAGCTCAGTGAGTAGACCTCCCGTTTGAGAATTCGTAACTCGAATTAACACCTGATCACGTGATGTGGAGTCCCTGAATGAAAGGTAGTGACCCTAACTGAATCGACCCGATGACAATTCCCCCGTTCTTTTGCTTACTCCGCCTATGTACTTTTGATGGCCACTCACGTTGCCGCAAATGCTGTTCCGCCCGACACCTGTGTATTTGTGTGTCTGTGTGTGAGTACGCGCAGCTGACCTACCTAGCCATGTGCGTTCGTGTCCCGTTTGTTTAGCCTGCCTCTAATTGGTTTCTCATGAGTTCCATCTGATCGCACCGCCAAGACTGTTGTCGGAAGGGGCGACTTCACCCATCACTACTGAGCCAACAGTCCACTCGCCATTGTTTGGTGCTACGAACAGATTTGCTTACCCTTGTGTAAATAGTACCGTAGAATTACGAACCTAATTCTTCCTTTTGATATTCGGGACTGTCGAACCTACGCGTCACTCAGAGTTCCATATCGGGAACCTCAACGACCCCATGCCATGTATAAGTCCAATGGTCAGCCGGTCGTGCCCTAACGGTCAAGTGTTCAACTACTAGCTGGCAAGTCGTGGGTTTGAATCCCTCTGGACTTACGCGAGATGCGCACTGCTGGTGGTCACCAATAGGGATGAAACAGCTGTAAAGTGCATCTAAGCTTTTCACCATAGATTGGCTTCCCCTGCAGGATGAAATGTTTGTTGAAAAAAACTGTGATATTTACATATATGTTTGGGAGCCGGGTCAGAAGGGGTGATTTGCGAATGGAGAAAATGTGCCTTGTGCACATTCACATAAAAGCCCACCTGCTGCCAACTCGAGCAACAACCTATGCAGTCTTAAAAAATCTTAGAATATCTTGCCTGCATCAAATTGCCGAGCACTGCCTTTTAGCAGCAGAATCCCGCTAAAATCAGTGGGGTGTTAGACCAGATAGTCATATGACTATCTGAGTCCGAAATCATTCATCAAAGAGGGGTGTTTTGTGATCAACACTCAGGGTACTAGAGACTGTCAAAAGTGAACTGGAATGGATAGCATTAAACTATACTGCCCCCCCCCATCGAAGCGGGTCGTCTACAAAGGCCCTAACCCCAGCACAATCTGTACATGCGGATTGTGGAATACAATCTGGGTGGCTGTTTGGATCGGTAATCTCATGTGTGATCAGACTGTTCAAGAACCACCTTGTTTGAGATGGTTATAGTCCAAACATAGCAAGCGAACAAAGTCTCTATCAAACCTTATTCATTTTTCACTTTCAGTTTGGAGGAAGCACTACCTGACACGGATGTGTTGTACATGACTCGCGTGCAGGCAGAACGAATTCAGTCTACTGATTCAATGGCTGCAGGACAATTTGTTGTCACTCCGGAGCTGATGACCCTGGCCAAGAAATCGGGAATGATTGTAATGCACCCGTTGCCCCGAGTGGGTGAAATCAGTCCCAGTTTCGACTCTGACCCTCGAGCTGCTTACTTCAGGCAGGCGGAGTACGGAATGTACGTCCGGATGGCCCTATTAACAATTCTGCTGGCGAATTCTCAGCAGTAGCCTCTTGCGCCAGGCTTTTCGTTTCATCAGAATAGATTCAAATTGATGATGGACTTTAGGAATGAGATATATGACAATCTGATTTTTTGTTACTTGCCCCCAGTTGTTGGTCCTTTATACACACTTGATTGGTAGCCATGGCATTTTTACCAGATATTGCCCATGGGCGCAGTGCAGTCAGCTTTTGGGCCAACTGTGATGCTGTTTAAACTTTGACACCTGTCAGGACGATGAAAGGCCGAAACGAAAACGTAACCACAGTGAGACCTCTCAGTATTTACTACTTAGAAGGACAAGCAAAATATTCATTAGATCGGGATGTCCCGTCAACAAGGGTTGTGTGAACGTGTACTTAAGACGGGTCTGTGCGTTTATTCCCCAAACAGTGCATCGACCACTGTAAGCTAAGGTAACTGGGCCATGTGTTATGCACACCGAGCTACCGTCTGCTCAGGTGAGCACTGTGCACTTTATCTGTGCAAACCGCATGACAGCCTGAACCCACATCAAACAAAATTGCAGCATCCAAGCGCTCAACACCCATTATCGGTACACTAAACTCCACAACAGTTGCTGTTCAGAAAGAAAATTCGCACTGAACTGAATCTATAAGGTTGCGGAGGAATTTCAACCACATCCTGTGAAGATATTTGTTAGTTGATACTTTGGTTGGGAAGAACTCGCTTTTTCGTGCACGAATCTCGTCGTGAATTGATCCAACTTACTGTAAGTAACGCGCAACCTACATAAGTATCTCAGAGTGTCCGACGTGCGCTCGAAGTCTCGGTGTCTCATGGCTCCCAAGGAATAAAATATTGTAAATGAACAGCCTTCCGCCAATACTAATGTTTTATGTACAGGCAATGTGACAGCGAAATATGACTTATTGGCCAGGTCCTTCAAAATGTGCGAAGTCACACAAAAACGAAGGGTATGGACAACCGTCTGGATGATTTTGGAGCATCCAACAGAGTCTGGTTTTCATTTTCTCGGCTGCGGCTTTCTTCCGTTTGGGTTCAACCTCGCCCGCTTCATTGTGTACACTACTTGCCATCCTTTCTGGCAACCAGCGAAGTTGTACCCTACCTTTTGTAACTGGAAGAAAAAATAAAGCTGTGGTTGTGAATAACGTGAGGACTAGGGTGCTTTCACAGTGTAGCTCAGCACAGAATGATCGCATATAGTCCCTACTGAACGCTCAATATGCACTGCTGATCATGACATGGTACTGGCCGATGGATGTGATAACCTAAAGCGATATTAGAGGTGCTAACTAAGGCAGAAACAGAGAACGCAAAATGAGCAAAGTCAGGTGCTTTGAACCACAGAAGCCCGATTCCGCGAGAATTTGGCCTCCGTTGCCTCTACGGAAAAACGATCTATCCCACGTATTTTAGACTGCGGCAGTATTCGTGTCCTAAGGACAAATCTAGTTCAACTCTTTTGTTCAGTTCAGCCAGGCTAAATGCGTTTTATTGTTCCTCCCAGACCAGTGTCGGGCAGTGAAAGAATCATTCAGCTGAAGTACCCTTTCGGTGCCTAACTACCATACCACCCAAAGGTTGTAAGAGGGCCGGGATACTGCCAGATTGCCCAAGCCTAGACAGGGGAGTCGAGAGACGGAGGTCGGGTTCGAACCACGGACCTTCTGGTCAGCAAATTCGCGCTCTAACCACTTGGGCCATCTCGCCATCGGACAGTGCTGACCCGTAGACACAGTATTGCCCTTCTAATCTAAACGGCGTTGGGATAGTATGCACAGAGTAAACTGAGTTACACTTCGGAAACCTAAGGAGATTTTAACGGAAAAACGTACGGGAAGGAAATTCATTAAAAAGCACACAATCAACCATAACGACGCTTCGACATTCACTTGGATGTACCTTGGAAAGTTTGGTGTTGGTTACGCAGTAGGGTTTGCAGACCTCCGTTTTGCGCCTTCATAAGTTCGAGATGTTCCGGTTCTATCAGGGAAGCCACTGTTTTCAGATCCAAAGAGCCTGCCGCGTAAGAAAATGGTTTAAAGGTGAACAAAGAGAAAAGAACTAACCATACTCTTAGACGGAAATAATCACTGAATCGGAATAGTAAGTCAAACGAGCGAGTAATGAATTACGGAGTATGGTTTGGACAGATTCATTTGTAAATTAGGTCGGATTATGTATTTCCGACCAGATACCTTAGGAATACGGATGTAATAGGTTTGAATCTCAATGTGTGGATTTCGTGTGACACGTACGCCTGCGAAATGCCCGAAATTGTGCAATCCCGCGCTACCTTCCTCTGATGTCGCCACTAAGTTATTACTAATCTCTCTCATTATGTTTACTGTTACTTTTATTTTTACTAGCCGATGCCTGCACTATGGGGGTTTCCTACAAGTCTGCTGGGTCAGCCGTCAGACAAGTCAGTGTGGTACCACACAGCATAATAAACCGTAAGTTTAGCCGTTTCTTATGAACGGAGCGAATGAGATTTCACTCCTCATCTCTGCACGTTTTGGTCAGGTTCCAGACTGCGCTTGTCTTCATAGTTGTCTACGATATGAGAAACCTGCAGGATCATCATGATCCTGGTTGAACAGCTCGGACGATAGAACGTTTACTGATAAAGATGTGATCAAGTTAGATATCATCTCTAATTATGTGACGGAACAGAGATTGCAAACCTGAAAAAAAGGCGCTATAGGCCGATCTTTCACAATCACTTATTGTAGTAACTGTATTTTTCTCAGCTTCGTTCTCGGTCTGAGCCTCCGAAGCTAGCGTTCACGGCATAACAACCACCAAAGGTTCATAAGGTGTATTAACGCCCAGAACAGCGCTTCATATATACGGTGTGGGTGGAAATGACTTTCTGGAAATTCTGACGCGTTCTGGATGCGCCATTGGCAACCGACATTCGGCCAATACTGGGTCATGATTGGCTGTTGGGTCCTGAATTTCGATCAATTGGATCCCGGCCTGATGTCGGACCGGCAAGCGTCCCGAGTTTTTGGCCAATCTTGCTTGGGATGGGCTTCTCGGCCGTAGCAGCACCTGACTGCGAGCGGTAAAAAGGGATCCGTGTGGAGTTCCGCCTAGCACCTACCAAAACAGAATGACTGTCAACGATAGTGTAAGAGAACGTTTGAAGGGACCTGGGAAGCGATACATAAATTGGTGTGGAGCATTTTACAAAAGTTGGTTAAATACTGGAGCAGTCCAAGTCGAGAGAAGACTCTGACCTTGCTTTTCGGCTTTATTACCCTGCTAAGACGGAACAAGATTGAAATGAGGTTTATAAGATCGCCACAGTTTCTGTGGCATCCGAAGCTTTCACGTAGAACAGTCACCCTGATTTGGTAGATATGCTAAGTGAGGTGGACATACGTGATTAAGGCTTGACCTAGTGACCTCATCCATCGCAGGGGATTCTCATTATTTTTAGCGTGTGGTGTGTGTTCAAGAGTAGTTGGAAGAAAGAATAAAGTCACTGGAGAATTTTACAACTGTGATTGATTCAGTCAAGATTTGCAGACCGTAAAAAGACGGTGACTAAAGGCACATTATCCCATTTGTAAATGAGAGTTAAGATGGCACCACGGGTTCCAAGGGCGCGTGTCAGTTATGATGTACACTACACGGGAAGATAACGAATTTGCTGGTCCTCCTCAGTTGGAATGGGGCGCGGAATGTTGCGTAGATTAAATCGGCGCGAAAAGGAGTACAGCTAGTCTAACTTTACATTATAACAGAGAAACGAGTACGGCGGTCCTCCTCGGTAGAAATCACTCTTCACAGTATTTCATTTTAATTGGTCGCTGAAAGCTTCTGGTTTAGGAGCCATTGAAAGGAACCCATCTTCAATCGTTCCATCCAGATTTGATACCCCGGGACAAGAACAAATGTGGTGTGCGTATCAAAATCAGGTGAATTTTCGTTGAAGCGAAAACATGCATTACAGGACATTTAAATCGCTACTCTTGTGTAAAGCTAACAGCCGGAACAATGCGTACCACACAGAGACAATGGCAAAAACTTACCACCTGGGTTCCACCACCGACCGTCCGACGTTTGAATCTGTCCCGATTCGGATACGACGAGTCGGTAAGAATGAAGCCAGTCCAAGTTGGGTGGCTGCCTCAATAGTTCGGTAAATATCCTATGGGATACGAGCTGAGTGACGTCTCGGGGAACGTGGGTGCAGTTCAAAACTGGTTCATGATAACTACGAGGCACAAAGCAAGTGGCCGCCGAAACTGAGAGTTTCTCTTTGTACACAGCTGCCTCAACTGAGCTCATGCGGGAAGTGTAGTCTGAACTGGAGGGGCTGAGTTTTCGACCAACAAGACAAGCCTGCAGAAGAAGGTAGAAAGACATGTTCCGTCTGGTGGGCGGAAAGGGGCAATCCATATGAATCACGATTAATTCCCCTTTCACTTGAATTAGCATATGAAGGAGCGATCAATACTCGTGATTTCGAATAAATCACAAATACCACTCCGGTGCATGACAGGTAAAGCACATATCCAGCCAACTAGCGTTAAGACAACTGCCCCCTCATAACACCTGCATGAAAACATCGGTCAGTGAAATAAGGTAAGATAAGCCACGTCCAGTTCGCTCATCACCCCTGAACGTACACTTACAGAAGAAATCGTTCAGCTGCAACACCCTTTCGGTGCCTAACTGCCATACCACCCGAAGGTTGCACGAGGGCTGGGGTACTTGCCCGAGCCTAGACAGGGGAAGTCGAGAGGCAGAGGTTGGTTTCGAACCACGGACCTTCCAGTCAGTAAATTTGCACTCTAACCACTTGAGCCATCCCGCCCCCGTATAATTATAGAAGACATACGATTAAACCGCGTTCAGTTCCATTCAATTTGCCCAGGTCAGTCAACCACTATACTGCAGCTTAAGCAAGCCCCCAGTGATTTCCACTCATCGAACTGAGAGTACATTTGTAGTGCATGCTTTAACGGCTGAATCTGCAGTCGGTAATCTGCCTAGTTATTCAGGTCAGTTGACAGTAGCACATCAATGAGAAATTTTTGCTTCGCTCTCCTCTGAATTTTCGATTAGAGTTCGCAACTTCCCACGTAGATAAGAGCATCTTGGGTAATAATCAAGTGACATTTTAAATTGGGGAAGGTGAGGGGGCAACAGCTCTTTATAACTCATTTCTGATAAGTTCTTGTTGCTTGTTGCTTATTCGGGGTATGCTACAGTTCGTTTTCTTCAGAGTGAATTGAATATTCTAGGAGTTGCTTCTTGAGGATGGGCACGATACTTAAACTACAAATTATCAATGCTTCATTCAAGAGAGGATTGACGAGGCCAACATTTACGAGAAATCCAGAATATAGTGTGAAGCAGCCAGGAGATCATGAATTGGACCAAAGAATCATGTGAATCAAGAGTTAGGCTTCAGTCGCCTGTAACAAAGGCATTACGCGAGAAGGATCTGATCGGATTCTAAAAGGTTCAGCTAAAAGACGCCCTTCGTCCATGTTGAGCTTAATGAGGCGAATGAGATTGGCCATTTGGTCACCGACCGCAATGCCAAGCGTTTCCAGTTTTGTTCAACTGGTGATTTGGTTGGTCGTAATGATGAGCTATGAATTGGGAGGTCATATTGTTTATCTAGCGTAGTAATAGCTCTTCACGTAAAAGTAGGTAGGTACAGAACATGAGTTTGGATATGGCGTGATGTTATTAAGTTGGTTATGACAAGATTTACACATTCTAGACAAAAACACCGGCTGCGAAAGACTGGCGGAAGTGTGATCTTGAGGTCAAGAACTAAGTAATGGTGGATGTGAAATAAACAACCAAACGTTCAAAAGCAGACCTCCACCTACTAATGATCCCGCACCATTTGTCGACGAATCAATAAATGGTTACCAAACAGCTAGATGGCTCAGTGGTCAGAGCGCGAAATTACTGATCCGGAAGATCTCCCGACTTCTCCTGTCTAGGCTTGAGCAACCTGGCAGCATCCCAGCCCTAGTGTTTCCCCCGGGTGGCATGGCAGCTAGGCACCGAAGGGGTGTTGCAGCTGAAGGATTATTTTTATAGTTGCAGTAGTAGTACAAAACAGCAGTCTGATACGTCGCCACGATGCCAGCGAACCACATCTTAAAGACTGGTTTCCTGGTAGATCTAAATGTCCCAACCAGCATTCTAAAGCAACTAAATTTTACAATCGGCGGCGCTGGACTACCAATCGAACGGAGTGATACCATGTAGAATGCCGGCCAGAAATCGCCTTTGACAATCGTGTTTACGTCATCTTTTTCCGAAAAATAACCGTCTGGAATGACAGCAGTTAAGAAATTCTGTGGCTTCTCGATCTACTCGTCGGAGTTCTAGTCAAAACTCGTTTCCATCACCCACATTGAACTACCAAAGGATCCAGAGGACAAATCAAATGAACTAATGGAACATCCCAGTGATTTACTAAATTGCTGTTATAAGCAAACACCTACCATCCCAGTTGGCGCATCGCCAACATCGTACTTCTTGAACTACGAAACTACTAGCATACAAGATGTAATCAAGTTACGCCGAACAAAGACTCATGGTGAAAATGAATTCTAACCGAGGGTTTCAAGACTGCTCACCACATTCTGAACCACCCAAGATGTCCTTTTGGTCGCTATCCTGTTCAAAATGACACTGTCGCACTACAGGACCACTGAATTTCAACGGTTAGGACTAGAGTTGCAATATTGGATTCTGGTGTGGTCCGTGGCATGACGCAATCGAGACAAAATGGTGGACGCAGTGCTCGGATGTTGCTTCTGATCGGCCCTCATATACAGTGGCGATAGGGGCGAGACGGCTCAAGTGGTTAGAGCGCGAATTTACTGAGCGGAAGGTCCGTGGTTCGAATCCGACCTCCGCCACTCGACTTCCCCTGTCTAGGCTTGGGCAACCTGGCAGTATCCCAGCCCTCGTGCTTCCTTCGGGTGGCATGGCAGCTAGGCACCGGAAGGATGCTACAGCTGAACGCTTTCTTTCTTTCTTTCTTACAGTAGCGGTTCGGGATAGTCTTGAAGCATACCAATCCTCTTCCAAGAGATGGTCGTAAAAGATTGAGGCAAGGCCTCACCAGTGAGCTTAAAAACCTGATAAACGAGGGATTCATTTGGGTTCCAGATGAGTCTCCCGTTAAAACCAAATTGATATGCAGATGTGTCTCGCTTCTTCACCAGCCGTTTTACTTGATATGCTGTCGGAAGACTGAGATGCTTCGGCACTATTACCGAATAATTCCAAACAAAAGCGAGAAAACAGTTTGCGAAAAACATCGTGGAATCAGCCTCAGAAATGCCACACCAAAGATATCTACTACTGCACTCCTATCACTTTGGACGATCGGAATAGCCCACAGCCGAACAAATCCTGACTGGATTCCACCCGGACCACGGTTAGGTAGGCCACGCCGCGGAGTTATCTGCAGGACTGTCCAAGTTTCAACAACCAACTAAGGCCAGTTTCATTGGTTTTCTGGTAATGCTTGATTCCATCCAATCTGAAAGTTCAAGAAGGTTACTGATTCCCGTTGTTTTCCTCATTTGGGAACAGAATCCCGCATCTATGTATCTGGTAAGAGTAGAGGAACACTTAACTTGTGACCCGGAGTGCTGCTCATTCACTCGATTGAAGGCACAAGCCAGGATGATAAAGATAAGCCCGTTTCCGTTGCCAACGAAGAGATTGCACTCTTCAAAAAGTTAGGGTCCATAACACTACAAATTGATTAAGCCACAGCTAGAAGGTGACAGCAAACGTTCTTATGCTTCGCGTACACAAGACAAACATCCGTCTAGCATCAACGAACGCCAGTGGAGCTAGCCTCCATTCGAGTTGACGATTTTTGTGGATTATTGACGTTCCAGATGCAGAGAGGTAGAATGTTCCAACGGTCATGTCGGTACCAGACCACTCTCCGTCATTCCTTAACGGCTCGACAACATCTAGATTGAATGACAAAGCTGGCGCACACACATTACCATGTGCAAAATGAAATGGTAGTGCAAAACTTGGAATGCAATCATACGGTAGACTGGCAAAGTCTCGCTACATGACAGCACACTGATGAGGTGAACTCAACAGATGGTGATGAGGCGTTGGAAAACAAATTACCTGATTCAGGGGACAAATCGACGATCAGCTGTGAAACCTGGACCAACAAGAAATTCCGGGTGTTGATCGCCGGAATAAGTCTGCCGGTTCAATAATTCCGGACACTGCGCGGGTCTTGCTACGGATCATCTGTCATGGGTGAACACACGTGGACACTATTGGAGCTGACTGGTCTTCGCACAGGGGACAACCGCGGTGTGGCTGAGAAAGAGCCATGTGATCGACCGATGCCCAAGGAGGGGGGTTGTTTCTGCGTTTAGGACAGCGATCACAACTTCCCTTAAACAGATCATCATCATCATCATCATCATCATCGACAGCATGAGATCAGTGCTCAACACCGATGCCTCACTGCCGTACAACCATGACTTATTTGAAAGCCTTATTGTAAAGAAAAGAAAAATGGTGGATGGGGGAGGGACTTAGTGCTAGCTTACCACAATCATTCGGAGGTGCCTACACCTCCAGAAATTCACTCAGGCGATCTGGATAGAAACTGACAACAAGAACGCCACTGACATCGGTTGGTAGCCATATCTTGTAGTGTCTCCAACCAGACACAGTGAGGATCCCTCAAACACATCTTTCGTTGATTAGCGTGCAAACCAGCCGCGTTGAAACGAGGCTGCTCAAATAGGATCCTTCAGTTGCACTAAATCCAATTGAAAGTGTGTGACCGCCTGAGAGTTAATCCACATTATGACCAGTCACAGATTAGCTAGGTCTAAATAAACGCCAAAGAGGTTGAGTTAGTTCCATGCGACAACGTACCGTGACGGAGTACCGAAATCAAGGAAATGCATCAATTCCTATTCGACGAGTACATTGACATTCCACGCCACAAGTGCTGATGCAAGGAAGAAATCCACCATACACCGTGAGTTCTAACAAGCGAGCAAAGGTACAGAGTTTGCGTGGATTCGCCAAACTTGTTTGCCCATCTTTCTAGGCGACCTGACATGCTTTGACCAAACTACTTGAGAAATAGCAAACGAAGGATAAACATGGTCCCAGTGAGCCACCAAAGGCAGTCAGTACTGCCCTAAAACACAGTATCTCCGTGGGAAAAATATCAGTTACCAGAGGAACATTTACTATACACCACATCCTACCAGGCAAAAGTCTCTCGAGAACGCAAAAGGTCACCTTAATTTACAATACTAGATCCCGAAGTCAGCAACTGACGAGCAGAACTAGCGGCTGTTGCTTTAAGTCCGGACATGCTATATTTGCGCGCCAAGAATAGAACTAACAACAGCGTGAGCGGAAAGATTGTTTCGTCGACTAAGCAACTGAAACCGAACCGTTCAAGACAACTGTTTACGAGCATGAGTCGAGCAGCTGACAACTGTGCTACCCATTGGCTTAGCGATCGAGTCCGAAAAAAGGTTCAGCTGTAACACCCTTCCGGTGCCTAGCTGCCATACCCACCGAAGGAAGCATAAGGGCTGGGATACTGCCAATATGCCCAAGTCCAACCCGAGTCCAACCAAACGCAGTCCCAACCTATTACGGAGAGTGAAATACAGTTGCAAATATATTTCACCATGCCGACTGATCGGATCAGTTGATTTTTACAGACGAATCAGCACATTCAAAATAAAGTCTGACCGTACTTTTTGGAACATACCATCTAACAACAGTCAGTCAAATAGAGCACGCCGGCGAGGTAGATGAGCGAGATAACATTCATACGTGGCATTATTACGTCACTAATTGGAACTAGATGCAGGTGAAAATCATCGTCAGTACTGTCGTGAGACTGGACATCGCTTCGTTATTGACACGTACCGACCTGACCACCGGTCGGCTCTGACTGGTCGAAAGTCCAGACACAACAGTCAATCATAATCCAGTATCTGCTGAATACCGGATGCCAGTGGCACATCCAGATGGCGTCAGAATACTATTGCCGCATAGACTTTATAAACGACGCGCTGTGCATGTGCTTTTGACCTGGTTTTGGGTGTTATTACACGTTGTGCACCTTTGATGGTTGTTTTGAGGGAACGCTAGCTTGGAAGGCTTGGATCGAGAACTAAGCTGAGAAGATACCGCCAATAGAAGGTTTACGGCACAACATTGGAAGTTTGTCATTCGACTTAATCGGAGAATACAAGTATAGTTCGGAAACACAAAACTACCTTTGAAAAAAAGCTTGCAGTCCTAGACAGAAGCATGTAGGGTGCATTTATCCAAATGACTTAAACACATTGCCAATTCGCCAAAGCCTACCACAGAATAATCGTTTGACTTTTGATTCCATGATACTACATGTAGAGGAGGTCCGGTCCGGTAATTCATTCCCGCCTATGGAAGATCTGTTGGCAAAGCATCTCACAGTAGACGTGCAGGATAATACTGCGCAGGCAGTGATTCCCTGCGGTAGGCTACCGGTAATCCATCCAGCAACTGCCAAAATTCTGACACCGTAAAGATGAGGACCTAACGATTGTGGACTTCACTCTCCCAGTCTACACTTACTTTTTGTTCAAGTTGAGAAATGTGTCCCAGATTTGACGACTCTGAGAGCAACTTCTCCGCTGAACCCATCTCTGACTATATAGTTCAAAGGCAGTCTCCTCTAGAGAACCAAGGCTCAAAATTCCTGTTATAAGTAAAACACAGTTTCAATCACTCAGTTCACATAAGCGTACTATTCTTGGGCGAGATGGCCCAAGTGGTTAGAGCGCGAATTTACTGACTAGAAGGTTCATAGTTCAACCTCTGCCTCTCGACTTCGCCTGTCTAGGCTTGGGCAATCTGGCAGTATGTCAGCCGTGCAACCTTCGGGTGACATGGCAGTTAGGCACCGAAAGGGTTCTACAGCTGAACGATATGAAAATATTAAGAACCACTAGCTAGGTAGATAATCTAAATAAATTTTTTGCCGACGGTTTCGAGAGTGTGTGAGAACAGCCTACGCCAAGTTTGTAGCATGACCGTACCCATCACTACTGCGATGTGGGCGGACCTTACTGGCTGGTAACATCAGTCTATTCAGGTGGCTTCCTCAAAGTCGCAAAACTGTAGAATATTTTGACGCGAAACAGAATTTAGTAGCATTTTGTAATCATTGTCATGATACTGGACAATAAATGTTGTGACAAGCTTTTCTACTGTTGTCAGTCGATACCATGGATGCCATTTGCTGAGATAAACTGGCGGCGGTAACAGCTTCACAGCCGCCACAAAAGTACATCAATTGACACAAAAACAGACGTGAAAAAACGTACTCGTTTCGTAGACGGGATCCTGAGAACGTCTGACTCCGGTTCAAAACCACAGACGCGAAATAACCCATGAAGATACCTCAGATAAACTCGATAGCGACTTTGAACTTCTACAGAGGCGGAGACCGAAGTAGATTCTTGTTCATTAGGATAGTGCGTGAAATTATTGTACTTTCCGAACAGGCTAAAAGGGCAACATGGTAGGAGAAACACTTTGCAATCTGGCCCGGACCTCGCAGCTAGCACTGGAATCCAAGGGGTCAACTCGTCACTGTGGTTCCCAATCAGCCAAGTTGCATCAGGAAAACCAGGACATTGCTCTGCATCCAAGGTGGTTTCCTGGATAATACAAAGGAAGTATCGATTAGCCTGAAGAAACTGAAAGTCGTCACGTAAAAAGTGAAGATAAATATAGCAATCCTCCCCAAGATGGACCCATCCTCTAAAGAGTTCAAGTTCCCCGCTGATAGAGATCTAGCGTGAGATCCACTGGGGAAAATATCACTCCCACAAGTGATCAAATACTCCTTTTCCCCGTGGTCCCTCTTGCGAAGTATTACGTTACTGCTGACGTCGATCAACTGGTCTGTGGTGGACTCAAACTGAACATGCATCGCCGCCACAAACATTGGACATGGACTTCGTGGAACTACCCGTTCTTGACCCACAAGTAAGAAATAAAAATGTGTACTACAGTCGTAGTGCGGCACTACCCCTACAGAGAGCCCCCTCAAGAAAAGACCACTCCATCGAGTGAACAATCCTCCCTCCTGAAGAAACAACCCCCAAAGCGAAAAAGGGACACATTCTGGTAGCCCCAGTGGCGAGTTAAACCCTAAGAAGTGGCAATGAAAACACCCTATGCCAGTGATACCGATTTACTGATTAATCATCACGCCGAAAGAATGCGGCAGACTTTCCATGGTGAGAAACGACGTGGGTACTTTATTGAAGAAGAGCTAGCGGATTATCTTCGAGGAATAACATTGCTAATATTATTACGAATATATCACTTGAACTTGTTGGTCATCAACATGATGGCTCAAGTGGTTGGAGGACGAATTTACTAACCGGAAGGTCCGTGGTTGGAACCCGACCTCTGCCTCTCGACTTGCCTCGTCGAGGCTCAGGAAACCCAACAGTATCCCAGCCCTCATGTTTCCTACGGGTAGCATGAAGGGAGTGGGGGTTGGGATTGGTGGTAGTCCCCCGCTCCACCTGTTGCGCGTCCGAGATTCTGACTCATTATGCGATGGTGAAACCAATCGAGACAGTGCTGAAATGATATAGGTCTGAATATACGCACCATCAGGGTAAGAATCTAGTGACTAGCGCCTCCAAGCAACTAACAAGCATCATCCAACGTGAGTTTGTAAGCACTCGTGTAAAGCTACGTCGTGAGAGCTGCACAGACTTCTGCCCGACTCCTGGGTTCATTGTCTCCATCTATGCGCTCGCAAAACTTTGAGGAGACAAACAAAAACAAAATACCAATAAGCGTTGTCCGACATTCAAAAGCAGCATCCGATTCCATCAATCGTGTTGGTCCATGGTGAAGCTCTCCATTCGTCACACTCTAACCATTATATTGTAAAACCCTTTTCCACGTGAATAATCACCAAAACCCACCACCTAATGTGGCGATCGTCAGGGTCTATCATTATCGACTTTTCCATACAAATCTACAATCGAAAACTGTAGCCCATAATTGCCCTAATGTTGAACCTTTCCCAGTACACCTGAATGAACTAGAGTGGGTCAAGGATACCGCGCTGCCTGGGTTGAATTCCACCACAATTCAAAATACGATACATACGGATACAATCGGATAGGGATGACAGAAAACGTGTCTTAAGACACCAGTAATTGTTTAAGAATTCCATCCGGATAATTGTATCTCCTCATGAAGCGATATCACTAAAAAAACATTCTAGGGAATCCCAAGCCTGTGGGCACAAGCAGGATTTACCACGATGAAGTGCACCCGGCACTTGTCTTGAAACATAGGCATTCTGTGTTGCGGACATAAAGACTGCAGGTATCTGATCATTAGTGACTTCGAAGCATCGCACATGTCCCGTGGTAATACCGGTGCAGCGATGCTGAAGATCAAAAACAGAGCCCGGTAAAAAAAGAAATAAGTGCGCAATTAAGGTTGCGAAACAGTCGACATGCTAGTTGAGAAAGTGGACTCAACGGAACTAAAGAAAAGCAAGCGCCTTAATGAGGCGTACGGAGAATGTGGCCGACAACTTAAAATACATAAAATGGTGATTCCTCAGTCGAAAATGCATGCAAAATGTCTGACACACTATAGAAGACAAAAACAACGTACCAAAAGCCGATTTTGGACTGAATCAGGATAGGAACTCCATATTTTCCTTTTGCGGATATCCACACCTGTGCCGTTAAACTAAAAGGTAATCGTAACGAGCAAAGGCCTACTCCTTCGTTAAGCAGGACAAACACCAACAACCCATTGCCACAACCAACATCCACGAAGTAAATAGACTTTTTATCCATCCCCTTCCAAAGACACTGAAGCTGCGAGTAAACATCAAAAATCGCGGCAATTACACGATTAGGTAGGACGCGATTCCTAGATCCTCGTACGTGAATTTCAAAGGGTCAGTCCTCTCACACCAGTCCTTCATGAGATGATGGTGAAACAATTGCTCCGTCAACCAACCTGTACAATTCTCTTCGCGTATGTACTCTTCAGTCTGTTATATATACACTGATATTCGGCAACATCAATAAGGCTTAAGGTAGGTGTAACAGGCTTCAGATCTTGCGAAAGCCATTCGTTCAGTTTTTGTTGGAATTCATTGCAGATCCACTCAGCTGTCAACAGACCCAAGCCGGAAGCGTGAAGGACAGTAGTGGATATTAGGAAGCTTAATTATTGCAAATATAGCGAACTAGCCAGACGCACTCTTGAAGCCGGATAACGTAGGTAATGTTGTCGGAAGTGAAGATCACTTCCGTCCCGGAGCGTTCAATGCGCTCAGAAAATGGCTCGAAGCGCGATTTCTCTTTCGGAATCACAAGACGCTCAAAAAGGTTGTCACCCTTATTTTCGACTTTTGCGCCGAAAATTTTAGGATGAACGACGTGGGGTTTGTGAATCCAAATGTTCAGCGTGGAGTAAAAATTTGACAGAGTGGACATGGAGCTGAAAACAGGAAATGTTGACGGAAAATGATGCAAACGGATAATCAGTCTATGTTCATCAAAAATGAGGAGGACAACAGTTATTTTTCGATAAAATTACTCGCAAGACTCACAGTTGGCAGTCACTTGATGCTATACCGCAGGCGATGGGCTTATTGATCAGAATCACAAAAGGTGTTAGACCATCTTGAATTGAGAATTTTACACGTTTATAAAACGATAAACTAGTGTTTCTAAATGGGTCTGTCTTATGTTCAAAAGATAAGTCGTTCAGATGTAACACCCTTCTCGGTGCCTAGCTGCAATTTCACCCGAGGGAAGCACGAGGGAGGGCGGTACTGTCAGCTTGCCTAAGCCTAAACAGGGGAAGTCGAGAGGCAGAAGTTGGGTTCGATCCACGGACCTTCCGATCAGTAAATTCGCGCTCTAATTACTGACCCACCTCGCCTGGTTGCGGAAAGCCGATTCCCCAGGTTGCTCGTAGCATCACCATTCTAAAATACTCTTTGAAAGATGTCGCCTTATTCACAGAAATGTGAGGTCATGTGAACACTGTGGTTCTACAGTGTGCTACCAGATTATCACAAGTTGGATCAACCTAGCCCATACTCCTCGCGCATAGTCGTATGCCTTAGATGTACGTTCTACGCAAAACAGTACATTGTGCATTTCAGTGGTACATAACAATCCATCCCAGTTAACCGAGCAATTTGATCGCTGCTTCCGTGCTATGTTTACAGCTGACTGCAGAACGAGGGACGAACAAAGAGTGATTCAGTTACATCAGGATTATATTTTAGACTGATATGGGACAATGGCTACAGACATTTTCCAGTTCGTGTGGATGCTAAACGATTGAGTTATCATTTCATGGTGAGTTAACACTAAGATTCAATACCCGCAGTTTATCGACTGAATTACAGGTCTATCATTTCGTGGAACTCCATGATGATGAACGTAGCCACAGAAATGTTCACACAAACTCAGCAAAAACCCCTGGAAAATGTAGCAGCACAAGTGAAACAGACTAGTTGGAATAAGCGAGGAGGCTCGAGATAGAAATCTCCCTTGGTACCAGCAAAAAGACCTCAAGATACCCCAGTGGTTAAGGCCAAGTCATACGTTGTCCACCTTGCTGTTTAGGCCATCCTGAAGGAAGCACGGAGAGTAACATTTGGTAGACAGAGTTCCGGCAGGTGCAGAGAATAAGCGAATCATCGTGGTCGACGGGACTGGGATGTTTTCGAAGATTGGATTATCTGCTGCACAACCAAATACCCGTTTTCTAAACACTGGTTACTAGTTCGTTGACGCCACCCACAACCAGCATCGCTTATGAGGCACTGAAGGTCAAAAACCTGAAGACGCCTCAAATCATCTGTCCGCAGAGACCGCATCTCACACCCGCGCAATAACACAGCGTTTACTGTAGCCTGTAGCCCAGTGACATGCCCTTCTGATGCCACAAGTGAGGCAAACTAGCAAAGGTGATTCGGGCCTCTGAGATTCGTTCACTGACTTCATCAGACACATTTCCGTCAGCTTCTCATTGGATTCTAAGAGACATGTCCAGAGCCTTAACGTTCTGAAGCGTGACTTTGCACTAGGTGCTAGGCGCATGCCGAAAGATGGTGTGAGGGTAGTCAGTGTATTCAACAGAGTTTACGCTGCGCTTTCGTGTTCAAAGATGAATGCTACCTTAAGTGCGCGCTGCAGACCGACAAGGTTCTCACAATTTGAACACCGAAGTCTAGAGGACCACACAGAGTCCCCATTACTAGCTCACCAATGACGAAGATGAACAAGAACGGAGAGTGGACATCATTGTTAAACACCACCTGCTGTGGGGAAACTATTAGACAGCTCACAATACACTCTCACAAACCCAGAAACATATGAATATTGGGACCGAATTATGTTCACAAACCTCTGAGACATACCCTGTTGAGCAAGTGTGGTTAACAGCACTGAGCATCATCGTCGTTGCCAGCTGTAATAACCGCGTACTTGACGTACAGTGGTTGTAGCTGACACAGTTTCATTCACCGAGGATTTGGAGAGGTGTGGTAAATAGCTGCGCATTGGAGGCGGGAAATGATAAATTAGTGCGTGGACTGTTAAGTGGGGGGATTGGGAAGGAAGCTATGCATTGAAGGCAATAGCTTGGATGCATCAGCGGGAGGGCGCGACTGGGCCATGTCTAACAATGTCGCTAACCATTGATGTGGCTCGTCTCGGGGTCCCCATCCACGAAGACGGCAATGACCAGCGCAGCTGAGTTTGCTGGTAATGGCTTTCATACTTCGCTTCCAAGTCATTGTTTGACCACCGAAGGCTCGTTTCCACACTTCACGTGGTTAAGCAAAAAAACCATTCGAGGAAATCGGTCGACTGGCATACGCAGCACGTGGCCAAGCCAGCGCAACCTATGCAGTGTGATCAGTTCATCTATCGAGGGTGAGTTATTTCTCCCGAATACCATTCAACGTACTTCACAGCATTGCCTCCGGTGTTCCCACCAGATTCGGGCACTGCTCCGAAGACATCGATGGTCAAACACAGAAAGTCTTTTGACGTCCTTGGCGCGCAGCGGCCATGTTTCTGATCCATATAGTAATATGGAGCGCACCGCAGCATTATAAACTCGACCCTTGACAGAGAAGCCGATGTCACGCCTACGCCACAGGTGACGTAGGTTCGCAAAAGCTGCTCTGGCCTCTCCAATCCGGATAGAAATATCATCTTTCGTGAGACCACCGGGACTGATACAGCTGCCCAGGTAAACAAATTTATCTACTTCCTCAATCGGTTCATCCGCAAGCACGAGGGTTCGAGCCCACCCAGTCTTGCAGTAGCACTTTACACTTTGCAGGTGTGAAGCGCATACCAAACCGCGAGGCAGAATTATTTAGATTATTTAGTATTGTTTGCAAAGCCACGGGGTGTAGTAACGGTATTTTCCTCAGCTTAGTTCTCGGTCTGAGCCTCCCAAGCTAGCGTTCACGTCAAATCAACCACCAAAGGTGCACAAGGTCTATTAACGCCCAAAACGAAATCAGAAACAGTTGTACAGCGCTTCCTATATATAGCGTAAGCGGCTATAACTTTCTGGAATTTCTGACGCGTTCTGGAGCTCCATTGGCAACCGGCATTTGGCCAATACTGGGTCATGATTGGCTGTTGGGTCCAGATTGTTGACCAATCAGATCTCGTCTTGATGCCGGACCGGCAAGCGTCCCGAATTTTGGGCCAACCTCGAGCG